TTTTGTGTATTTTTGGTGACTATTGGAAGTGGCTATTTTTGCTAGTTTTCTGACTTGCAGCTGTAATTGTTTGACCCTATTGTGTGGACATGTCAAAAGGGAGTGTAGCCTCTAGTAATTTCACTCAAGATGAGATGCAAATTCTTAGGCGTTTGATGGCTCAACTTGATATTTCCTTGGTTACAACTCTTAATTTTTATCTCTTCTTCCAACTTTGCTCATATTGGTATATCTACTAGTGTATTTCCTGGATCATTCTCATATATTCCTTGGATAATAGTTTCTGGAGCCACAGATCATTTGATAGGTTCTTCTAGCCTTTTCTCTACATATTTTACTTATTCTGGTAGGGATAAAGTTAGGGTGGCAGATGGGTCTTTATCCTTTATTTCTAAAAAATGTTTAATTAATTGTTCACCCTTTTTTATCTCTCTCCTCTGTTCTTCATGTTCTCAATTTCTCCACTAATTTATTGTCAGTTAGTAGTATTATCAAATCCTTAATTTGGTCGGTGACTTTTGTCCCTATTCATTGTATCTTTTAGGAACTGAAATTAGGGAAAATGATTTGTAGTGGTACATGGATGTTAAAACTTCTTCTCATTATATCTGTCATGCTCTCCGGGCAGCTCTTACATCAATGGTATAGACGTTTGGGACATCTATCATTTGGTGTTTTAGAACATTTTTTTCCTAATCTAGGGATGGAAGCAGTGTAGTAGACAATCCTTTGTTTGTGATGCTTGGAAATTTGCCAAGCAATCCTTTGTTTGTGATGCTTGGAAATTTGCCAAGCATAAATGATCATCTTCTCCTGGTACTAATCATAGAAGTACTGCACTTTTTGCCATTATTCATTTATATGTGTTGGACCCTTTTCGTGTTCTGTCTATTTTTCGTTATCGCTGATTTGTTACCTTTATTGATTGTTATTCTTGTTTTACTTGGGTTTACCTACTACGGAGTAAAGGTAAAGTTTTTTCATGCTTGAGATCTTTCTATAGAATAGTGAGTACTTATTTTGATGTCAAAGTTAAAATTATTCGAAGTGATAACAGAACTGAATATATTGATGGAAAATTTCGTTCTTATCTCAATGAAAATGACATTTTATACCAAATCACTTGTGTGCGTACCCCTAAGAGAAAAAATCATCTTCTTGAGGTTGCTCGCTCATTTATGTTTGCTATGAATGTTCTTTAATCTTTCTGGGGGATGCAGTTCTTATTGTTGTTTATCTTATTAATTGTCTACACTCGAGTATCCTCTGCTTTAAATTTTCTATTGAATGTCTTTTTGAGTCTTTTACCATTCCTTCTATTTCTTCTCTTTTCCCTAAAATTTTTGGGTGTTTGTTTTGTACACGATTATAGACCCTTTAGGGGAAAACTTCCCCCTAAGGTTCTGCGATGTGTTTTTGTTGGTTACTCTGCCACCCAAAAGGGTTATAAATATTATCATCATGAGGCACAAAAATGTATGTTAGCATATATGTTACTTTTCGTGAATTTGAGTCCTTCTCTACTACCCAGACATCTTTTCAGGGGGAGAATACTACTATAGTGGAAAGAGATGTTTTTGTTAAGAGCCTCTTATTCAATTGCCTATTTAGTGGAATGTTAGTCAGGGGGAGCAACAACTTATGGAGAAAAAAAGGTGATGGTAGTGATCCACATGTTCACCTCACAAGGATAATTTGAAGATTTACTCTGAACGTCAAAAAGTACAGAAAGTGCAAATTTCCCATGTCCCACTACATTACTTAGATTTCTCAACTCTAGTTCCATACTCCATTTGATTTATGACTCTGATCTTCCTATTATAGTCAGAAAGGGTGTTCGAGCTTGTACTCAACATCCTATCTCTAATTGTGTCTAATAATTTTTTGTCTCCATCCTATCATACTTTTGTTTCCTTCTTGTCTGCTGTGTCCATTCCTCAGGGTTGAAAAGAGGCTCTCATTGATTCTAAGTGGAGAGAAGCTATGGTAGAGGAAATAAAAGCCTCGAAGAAAAATGAAAAATGGGAGTTGGTTCCTATTCCTCCTAGAGTAAGTGCAGTAGGGTGCAGATGAGTGTTTACCGTTGAACAACAAGTTAATGAGATTGTTGAGAAGTATAAAGCTAGGCTGGTAGTTAAGGGATTTACTTAGACATATGGTATTGATTCTCAGGAGACTTTTGCTCCTGTGGAAAAATGAACTTCATACGTGCTTTTATCTCTTATGCAACAAATTTGGGGTGGAGTTTATAGCAATTAGATGTGAAGAATGTCTTTCTGCACGGAGATTTAGAGGAAGAAATGTACGTGGATATTCCTTTGGGTTTTTCATCTCCAATAATGGAAAAAGAAGGTGTGTAAGCTGAAGAAATCTCTTTATGAGTTGAAACAATCTTATTGAGCTTGGTTTAATAGGTTTTCAAAGCTATGCTGAAATTTGGATACAAACAAAGTTAGGCAGATCATACCTTGTTCGTCAGACGAGTTGATTGCAAGTTTATATTTCTTATTGTATATGTGGATGATATAGTGGTAGTTGGAAATGATGAGTATGAAATCATCAAGTTGCAAGCTCAGTTGACCGAGGAGTTCGAAATCAAAGACTTGGGTCTACTGAGGTATTTCCTTGGAATTGTAGTTGCCAAATCGGACAGAGGTATCTTTATGTCTTATGTTCTTAACCTTCTTGAGAAGATAGGGATGTTGGGATGCAAACGTACATTTCTCCAATTGAAGTCAACTATTGACTGAGTGGTGGTGTTGATGTAATAGAGAAAAAAAGATACTAGAAACTAGTAGAGAGATTAATATATCTCTCATATACCTAGCCAGACTTCATTTATGTAGTGGTTGTTAGTCAATTTATGCACGACCCTCGGGCACCTCATCTTGAAGCTGTGTATCTCATATTGAGGTATCTCAAGTCAGTCTAGGAAAATGGATCCTATTCTCTAATAATGGCCACATGAAGTTCGAAGCATTTAGTGATGCAGACGGGTGGGCTCAGTGGATAGTTAAAGATCTACTTCAAGTTATTGCACCTTGAGTGGAGGAAATCTTGTCACACGGCGAAGCAAAAACCAAACAATAGTGGCTAGATCTAGTGCAAAAACTGAGTACAAAACAATGTTATATGGAGCTTGTGAGTTTATGTGGCTCCAAACACTGTTGGGAGAGTTGGGAATTCATTATAATGGACCTATGAGACTATATTGTTACAATGAAGTTGCTATTAATATTGCTTATAATCCAGTTCAACATGACAGGACCATGTTAAAATTGATTGGTACTACATCAAAAAGAAGTTAAATAAGGGTTTGATTTGCATGTCTTTTGTGAAATCAGAAGATCAGTTAGCTGTTGTTTTCACAAATGGCCTTGGTAGTAAAGTTTTTCATCCCATTATTTACAAGTTGGACATGAGGGATATTTATGCACTAATTTTAAGGGGAGTGTTATGTTATGTGTTATTTCTAGACTAAGGGTAGTTTTGTACTTTGTAATTATATATAAAAGCTGAGTGTAGCTGTGTAATCTAACACACTTTTCTCTTTCCCTAATCTTGTTTCTCTTTCTCCTCTCGTCTCTTCTATTATTCTAAACCTATTTACTACATAATTTAACTAGAATGAAGATAGTGGAAAGAGGCTCCAAGGAGGAGGTTGAAGAGAGGGTGTGGGTAATATGGTTGGGACCGGACCTCTATAAATTTATATTTGCATCTCCTTTTTTCTACTCACTGTTTCCTTGCTATCCATTATTATTGTCATACTTTGCATAGTACTTGAAACCCTCATTCATCATTCTAGAAAACAATTCTACAAATAGTAAAATTGTTTTTAAGAAAGGAACTTAGAAATTTAGAAACCTAATTCACCGCCCTCTTAGATTGCATTTGGGCCAATATGGACATACCGTCCTGTTTAGAAATAGTATCAATTGGACCCACAGGTTGTTGGAAAATATGACACCAACAAAAGTTATGATTAAAAATCAAATTTACATGTTATCCTTCGTTAGAATAAAATTAAATCTCTTCTCCAAAACTATTTTTACCGAGAATCAAATGATCTTGTACCTAAACACATTCGCACCTTCTTTTCCCATCTCTATCTTTCTCGTTACACCACTGTGGGCGGCCAGTACTCAGTAACAACACCTTACCCCTCTAGCTCACGTGCAACCCCTGCCCCCTAGCAGCTTCATTTCCCTCACAACCCCTTCCTCCCACAAACCCTCAGCCCCTCCTTCCTAAACCTATAGCCACCCTCATTACTGTTTCACCTCCACGACACTCTCGTCACCCAACAAATCATAAATCTCCCCTACATACCCACTGCCCAAGTCCTCTAATCACCATTAAGACCACACAATTTCAGCCCCCCTTCCCTACAGAAATTCCAGAATTAATACGTGCAAAAACAATACGCACCCAAAGTTTAATGTTGTTTGGTTTGATGGTATTGATAGGGGCCAGGAGTGGTGTTTTCTGGTGTTTGAAGTTGATGATCTGGCCATCAAGTTTCAAAGCAGTCCTGGCATCTAGTTAATGGTGGTGCTCTGATTTCAACTGGGTCAGGCTGGTTGCTAATGTTGTTGTCTTCCTCATTATGTGACTAGAAATGGAAAGGGAGTGAGTTAATATATGTCGTGACTCATGAAAACGGGAGGCAGGAGAGGGAGATGAGAGAGGTGATTGAGAATTGGGGTCCCCGTGCCCTTTAGGACCTATATTAGCTGCCTATCTCCCCATATGATACAGCTGTTTGAGTAGGGCCCACACTTCAGTATTCACCTAATACTATTTTTTTTATATTTTAGCTTAGGTTGCTCTTTCTACTTTCTGTTATATTTTTAGTTTGCAGATTTTTTCACTGACCATAGAATGTATTCCAAGCAGGTCCAACACTTATTGGCATCCTTCCTTATGCCGGTTTGAAGTTTTTTATTTATGAGGAACTTAAGAGACATGTTCATGAAGAGCACCAAAAATCCATTTTAATGCGCCTTTCTTGCGGAGCTCTAGCTGGTTTATTTGGGCAGACCTTTACATACCCTTTAGATGTTGTCAGGAGGCAGATGCAGGTATTCAAGTAATCCTTCTCTTTTGATAGACTGTAACACTAAATAGTTTATTGGCTTTATTAATATGTATTCAATTGTTAGAAAAATGTTATGGTTAGGCTCTGTGTGAAGAATGAAAGAGAGCTATTTTTTTTTTCCTCTTTGATAGATAGAATGTAAGGGAGCATGATATGCAATAGAATTGTGGCACTATTGGGGTACTTTTACTAATGTAGATTGAACAGTTGGAAACCTGGTGAGGTTGTTCTAGTTGTAAGAGTCAATTTGTTCTTAGAAATAAGAAGTGACGGATAATGAAATAATGATGTGGTAACCACATCTTGGAACCTTATGTCAATTGGAGTTAATCATGTAGGAGTGTTAAATGCTATATACTTATTGAACCCTTGATATGTGATGTAGCTTATTTGCTAACTTTTCTTCTTAAGAAACTGTGTGTGTGTGTGTGTGTGTGTTTGACCTTTATCTTGTTTCTTATTGTCTATGTAAACAAAAACTAGAAAAAGTGTAAAGTCTATGGTGTCAACATTTTTTGTGTAAAGTCTATATAGTCTATGAGAAATGCGATGCAAAAAGGGGCCATGAAATGGAAGCCAATCATGGTATGACATAATTTTGATTCCTTCTGTAGATAAAGTTTTATAGGCCTAGGAAGTATTGAAGTGGCTGAGGAAGCGGGGTGATGACCCTAATTGTTCTTCTTAGTTCTTCCTAATCTACATTATGGGGTAGTTGACCGAGGGTTTATAACTGGGTCAACAATGCTTCAGTATCTTTTGTAGCTGATTCAGTCCTTGTTCAGTTCACTGTCAGTTTTTTGTTTATTTTCTTGGATGTTCTGTTTTGGTAGATTGAAAACTCATGAAATGGCTTGAAAATATTTAGTGTCATTAAATCCCATGTTTCGGAATGGAAGTGCCACATGCTTTGCAATATGCGTCATAAATGTAAATAACTATGTGTTAATGTTTTCTTTTAAGTCTTTGGATGACAGTAATTGTGATGTTAGAAGGAGCCACGAGATGCAGTGACATAATGCTAGAGGAAGAGTTAAGGTTCTTGCTATACATTTGGATTTATGGAGAGAGACCTAGAGTTGACCCATTAGTTTAACATATGTGCCATTCTAGTCTTGACTGATTTGCCACACCTGCTTATGGATGGAATAGGTTTAGGTTTGTATTAATCCAATGAGCAATCTGTTGGTTGTTCAACTGTTTTGTGTTGTTACCAAAGTTTATCCTCGTCAAGAACAGTCAAACCGTATGTTTGAACAGCATGCATGCTTTTGTGGTGATGGTAATTGTGAAGGGATCAACATCTAGGCATCATTCTTTCTTCTGTTTAGGGTTTGTTGGTGGTTAATTTTATGTGAGGTTTTAATTGGATATTGCAAGTGTATTAAATGAATCACTGCATAATCTAAATATGTGTAGGGAACGCAGTTTCATTATGGTGGATACCAGTGCCTGGGTGGGAACTTTGAGTTCCAATCGGAGCGTACTGATCCGTAAATTGATATGTATAGCCACTTCAGTCGTGCTCGTCGTTTCTCGAAAGTATTTTTTTTCCTAGGAACATGATCAACCAAAAATTCTTATGTTCGCGAATTCTTCATCCACTGATGCTGAAAATGCTCCAGTTTTCTATTCTACCATAAGGTCGAAAAGTCTATTAGGAACTGGTTGGCACGAAGTGATTTCATAAATTATATTTTTTGCTTAGCTTAAGTTTGAAGCCCTTTTTATCTATGCCGGACTTTTTGCTTAGTTATTTGTATACAACACACACATAAATACACAAAGTAACTAAACAACATAGTATGAGTAGCTTATAATTGAAATCTTACTAACATTTGTTCTTTGGAAAATAATTTTGATACCTTAAGAAATTTCATTTTTCTTTCTCTATATTTTCAACTGATAGCATGTGTAGGGCCGCCTCTGGCTTGGTGTTGTTCCATGCTGCATTTTACCAAGTTGCACCCTTTCTTCTGTTATCAAGACTTTGATATCAATGTGGGAGTTCGGCAAGACTGAATTGATTGTTTGTAATTAATCATGTCATATCATTCTCAGGTTGAAAATCTGCAACCTTCAATACAAGGTGGTGCCAGATACAGGAGCACATTGGATGGCATTGCCACCATAATCCGTTGTCAAGGTTGGAGACAATTGTTTGCTGGCCTCAGCATCAACTATATCAAGGTACTTGCTTAATATTGTATGCTTACATGATTTTATGTTTGGATGCATTTTAGGATGCTGTTTATTAAGATTTTTGATGTTGTTTGACTTAAAAAACCAAATCACTCAATTTTTCACCCACTTTGGCACTTCCTTCTTGGAACAGATCCTACCTGTTTCGTCGCATTCATGCAATTTGAATTTTGTTGTCTTGTATTTATGTTAACCTTTTCTATTTCAAAGGGTCAATGGGTGATCATGAAGGCCCATGGCCTAGGTTGGCGACCTCCATTGCACTTAGGAGGGGCGCCCGCCTAATGTCTACCCAAGTGGTGGAGCCTACGTCATAATTTGTGGTAGTGGGAGCCTGTGTTCGCGCAGCCCCTAATAAAAAAAGAAAAAAAAAAGATATAGGAATGAATCAGGTTCTGTTAAACTATGGTTTAATGAGGCTTAGGACTGTTGAACCCATGTCCCAGATCTGCCAGGAGGGCTTGGCGTTGATGAGTAGTTGGCACTCTGGGACCAATCCTGCTACGTACAAATAAAATTTGTTTGTTGATACCATCCAGATCATGGAACAATTACATCTAAAGTTTGCATCATGTTTCTGATTTTCATTTTCCCAAAGTCAAGTTTCAAAACCTAAGGCAAATCCAACTCCCACCACTACCCCTAAACAATCTGGCTTTAGACCGAGGGGCGTTTCTTCTTTGTCATAAGAATCTCAGAAGAAAAACAGTAGATTATTTCTTTCTGAATTGGGTTCCCAATGGTTTCTTTTAACTAACAAAGCTTTATGATTTTGTTGCCAGATTGTCCCTTCCGTCGCAATTGGTTTCACAGTATATGACATGATGAAGTCTTGGCTTCGCATACCTCCCCGACAGAATTAACGAACCGTCTCCGCTGCATAAATTCACAACCAAATTTCTGAGAAAAAGTATTTTATACATAAAAGCATTTCTTTATGATACATTTGTGGTAATAATGTTACATCTGATTTACATTCTGTAAGAAAATAACATCCAAGTTATTTGATTAAAAATGGCTATGTTCTCTTATAACTTAAAACTTCTAGTTCCCTTCATGATTCATATTTAAGTAGGCAAAATGCAGTGTGTTACAATATATATGTTTTCACACACATTCGAGATATTCATTGGTTGTAGCTACAAATGGATTTGAGTGAAATATTGCCTGTCGAATTTCTCATCACGAGGTAGGAGGTTCGAGTATTAGAGTTTACATTGGGATTCGATAGATGACCATTATGTTAGCCTTGTAAGGGAACTCATGGTCTAACCAATAACGGCCTATCGGGATAGTTTTTGGGTGTTTTTTTTACCCCCACCCTTTTCTTAACCATAAAAAAAATTGCGTGCCCAAAATCCAAGAAAATCATGGGGAGTTTGAAACAGGTACTAACCAGGGATTTTCTGGGCCTCTGTTAAAATCTGCTGTAAAAGTTGTGATATACTTTCAGTTATTAATGCTCTTTTGTTTTGCGTTGAAAGTTATATGATACATGATGCCATGGAGAGTGAAAAACTTACCAAGCGCGTATCCAATATTACGTTTATTTGTCTGGACATGTTTTGTTTTTTGTTAAGTAAATAATTTTATTTTGAAAAAAGAGAAGATATTACAAGTAGAGAGAGCATGGATTATTGAAGAATAAAACTCTACAAATTGGACCCAATTCAAAATATACCAAATCAATGGGATGTTTAGACCCAAAAGCCCAAAACCAACCCAGTGAAAACCAAAGCCAACTAACATCAAGTCAGTAACTAAAGTGCAATGTATCTCATTTGAATTCAAACACCACCTGATCAAAAAAAAAAAATTAATCCAAACACCTCCAGGTGATTGAGGAGAAAAATACGGGGATAAAACTGTAAAGCCTGGACTATGCCCGAACGAGTCGACTGTCATGAATTAGATCCTCAAATAAAGTAAATTAAAACTGAAAATCCAGGAATATGCCTCAACCTCTTGCCTGGACGCTTGAGTGCAATATAACACGTGTTTTTGTGTTGGTAGTTGCCCCCACACAATCAAAAATTGGTTTTCATATCTTAGACGATATTGGGTTCATTTGGATCTAATTTTTTTAGGTGTAAAATAGAGATTTGAAAAGTGAAATGAGAAAATCAAAGTTAAAAATGTTCTTGTAACCGTTTAGAGTATTTTAAAAAAAATCGATTTTTTCTTGGAAACTCTTGGATACGTTATAAACCAAGTAGGACCCAATGCAATGTGGTCATGGATTTATTAGTAACCTTCATTTAATGTTGAAATTCATTATTAATCCAATCACCATAATAAATTGAGTCCTCATATAAAATTTATAAATGAAGTCTCAATTGCATTGTTCTATCCAAAACCCTCAACTGGGCTTAATTCCTAATCTGTTGCACAGGTTAACAAGTGGATTTTCCTCTCTGCTCAGTGGTAGGAGATTAACACCAAATTATATTTTGCAATTCTATACATGTACAAGTCAAAAACTTGGGTAAGTCGAGGATAAAAAAGTTGTGTATCGACAAATCATAAGAGTGCAATTTATGTGTGTTTTTATGTGGTGTTAGGGTGTAATAGTGGAGGTCATGGGGATGACAGTTGTGGAGGTGGTTATTGGCAAGATGCAATATATATTAGGAAAGTTGTATTAGTAGGATACTATTTGTGTATTAGGAAAGTTGACTGCCAGTAGTACTCGATAAATTTAGGACATCTGTCTACATCATAATAGGACAAGTGGCATGAGTCATCAACTGACATGAAAGTGGGGTTTGACAAGGTCCAGCTAGACTGGTATGGATAACGATGCAAGGTGCGACACCCCAAGGCACGAAAACCAAGGTACAATGCCCTCAAGCGCGACCCCCCATGTGTGATGCCCCTAGGCGTGACACCCCATGTGCGACACCCCTAGGTGCGGCTCCCCATGTGCGATGCCCTCAAGAGCGACACCCCATGTGTGAATTCCCAGGCGCGACTTCCCGAGCTCAACACCGCAATAAGGCGTAACACATCCCCATCATATTGGAATTGGAAAAATAGACCCTTTACCAAGGGTGGACAAAAGTGGAACCATAGAAGTTTGGGGGCTACCCCGATGAGACTTGCCTCTCCCACTAGAAAATGGTATCCTAAACCTACATAGACACCGTTGCTCGACTGGCCTACTAAATTAAGAAGAAGAGTCCCACCAAGGGACAGGGTAACATGGCCCTCCTCAAGGGAGAGTTAAGGTGGGGGCAGATGAGAATGATTGTCAACCTCGACCTAGGGTAAAATCTTGAAGGTTTAGTATGCTCAAGTAGGTCACCCAGTGCATGGCTCATTGCCCACTAGGATGTACTTTACTGGGATCCGGAAGGACTCTTAAGGTAACTAAGGTTATTAGTTCAGATCAACATATGGGACAATGAATGGAACATGTGGATTGGTGGTTGAAGGACCGAAACTATATGAGTCTTCTCTATCAAACACCCCGAACCCTCCTCCAAACTACATTTGGAAAAATATCACATCTAGCTCAGTAAGTGTTGGGACATGTGGCTTGCGGTTAACGACCACTAGTATCATCGTGGTCGAAGTAATTGTGGCTACGCAAGTGTTAGGGAGTCATGGCAGGTAGCCCTATTTGCCTAGGCACTGTGCTATATATACCCGCATTACTTGCCCACTATAGAGGATTAGATTTTCTACTTGGCTGGTGAAAGCATTTTCACTCCACCTACCCATTCCCCAACTAGTTGGTCTCTTCGTTAGCAGGTTATTTGAGTTTCTTCCATTCCATTTGCTTATCCTATTTATCTCCTTCAATTATCCTTGGCATAGACAAGTGTGACAGCCTTTTAAACTCCCCACCTACACATTCTTTTAGTGAGTACACTAGGGTGGTTTGTCCTCGTTAGCCTATGCCTATTACAACGGGGTAGAAGAGTATTATCTAACACGATGACCAAAAACAACAATGAGAGGTAAAATGAACAACAAACAAGCCTGCCCCAACGTGAGGACAACCATGGATCTTCTACGAACTAAAAGGCTTCCGAAGTACATGGCCCCTCCACAATGGTGCAGGCTCTATACGATATGCGGACTCTATAGCAGCAGATGATTGCAACAATGTAAATAATGCAAGCTCAGATGTATTTTCGACCCCCTGGCTTGCAAAAACCACCGATGTTCTTGACATTGCTCTCACAATACCTAATGTTATCACCTTCAACTTTGCATGTATCCTCTCCAATGGCATTATCAGGCAATAATGGTGCATCACAAAAATCAAGCCCTTTTATGGCTTAATAATGCAAAATCTGCTAGTGAACTCCTACCACTTTTACCACAAATTACCGTAAGTGACATTGTGGTTCCTTTATAGAAAACCACCACAGGCGGTCCTCTAACACCCTTTCAGCAAATCGTTGCAATTGGCCCCTCTAACTCTCCCACAACAAGCAAAATCAGTTGGCCCTCAAATTGTCACAACCCTTGAGGTGCCCATTATAGCCAAACTTGCAATGGCGATCAGTGTATCTCTACTAAACCCTATGAAGGCTCTCAAATGTGAATACGCTATAACTATGGCCATATAGCCTCCTAATGGCCCTCTCACCATCTCTATAAGGACGTCGGCAACCACCCAAGTGCAGGGGCAAACTGTTTTTCCCAATATTACCACAAACCATGCCTTTATCATTCCCAGTCCTTGCCCCTACTACCTCGTTTCCATCTACAAGCGCTTGAGCGCTATACTTGACCAACACAGAATAACTAGTGCCAAGTGTCATGTTCATCATGCTGGAATAAGTCCAGGCTATACTGGATAGATAGAAAGAGCCTATGCCAACAACCATGGACATAAGATCCAAGCTTACCTTGGCTATGTAACAAGCTATGTATCTTGTGGGGTACTTACCATCAAAGTTTGATGGAAAAAATGGCAACCTCGGGAGCACATTACCTGCTATCTTGTTAGCCTTGGCCACTATATGTTACAAGAGCCTTTTGGATGAGGGAATTTTNATGTAACAAGCTATGTATCTTGTGGGGTACTTACCATCAAAGTTTGATGGAAAAAATGGCAACCTCGGGAGCACATTACCTGTTATCTTGTTAGCCTTGGCCACTATATGTTACAAGAGCCTTTTGGATGAGGGAATTTTCCAAGTCCCTCAAAGATAGGGCCTTCACCTGGTATGCTAACCTTCCAGCAAAATCGATGCGGGAATGGGACAACTTAGTCGAATAGTTCTATGCGAAGTTCTTCCACGTTGAATAGCACATGATAGTGCTATCCCTTACAAAAGATCACCCAGGACGATAGAGAGACCTGGATGACATACATTGACAAGTTCCTTGACAAGGCCTTGGAGTGTGCCTGGAAAATGTCATCAAAGATGCCCTTGTTCAAATTTGCATCGACATAATGCACAACAAATACAAGGCTTACTTGGTGAACAACAACTTTCAAATCTTTAGTAAGCCCTATGAGTCTGCTTAAAGGCTCTCAGAGGTAGTCCAACCCTCATTCAAGATAGCGGGCTGGAAGGACAAGAAGGAAGGGGGGACTACCGTAGTTGTTAAAGAGCTCCCGAAGGGGGGCGACACCTAAATAAGCTAAGGACAGTCTTTAAGCCCGAGGAGCCACCTCCATATCCTTGTGGCATGAAGAAAGTCCGGTAGATCCTCACATAATGGATCAATAATGACAATGTTGAGTTGCAACCAATAGTAAATGAGCCAACAAAAGAAAAGAAAAATAGGTCGACCTTCTGTGAGTTTCATTGCCACACCAAGCAAAACCTCAAGGATTGTTGGACTGTGTGACGTGTATTTTAGAAACGCTTAAAGAATGGAGAGTTGGTGTTGACCGATG